GGAAAGCGGGATGAGGGAGGGTTTTTTTGTCATACGAGTATCAACGTGTCCTTGGGGAATAACGTAAATTAAAAATGAGGGAAAGGTACTTTCATAATGAGGATAATGATGGGCTTATTTTGAAAGAAAATCGAAAGGAAGAGGTGAAAATACATATTTTTTAGGGTGTATGCCAAATTAGCAAATATGGCAAAGGAGAACAAATTTGTGATAAAAGCAGATCAAAATGAAAGGATCAGAGAGGTAAAGTGAAGTAAATTATCAAGCACAAAAACAAAGTAAGGAGAACAAAAAAGAAAATAATCAGCTGGATTTTGTTTGGGGTTTTGCAAGTGTGTGTGTGAAGTTTAGAAAACAGCGTAACTATTGATGCAAAAGGCAAAAGATACTGAGGGGTTTATAACAGTGGGAAAGGCAATAATGTGGCTCACTCACAGGTGAACTTTTCCAGGTCAGTGAGTGAAGCATCCAAAGAGGCTTGCTTCATTATAAGTGTCTTTGTAATGCCAGTAAGGTAACAAGACTGTATGGAAAAATAGTCTTTTTAATACACAGTAACAGTGGGTTTTGTATTAATTATTAATGACAGAGTATTTAGGAGGTAAAATTTTACTACAAGAATGAGAAGACATCTAAAGAGACGAATCATAGTTATTTCACTGAATGAAAGACATTTACACAGCTGTTCAACTAAAATATAAAAGTTCTAAAAAAATAAACAAATAATGAAAAGTGAGAAAAGGTTAAATAAACCGCTGAATGTAAACCATAAATTTTTAAATCTAAGTAGAGCTCTAAAAAAAAGTATTACTTGTGAAGAAGGTGCAGAAACCTAGGGGAAGAGTAAATGACTAATAATTGATATGTATCTGCCATAATAACACCTGAGTCAATGATCCCATACAATTAACATGATGATAATGAAAGGTGAAAAAATTGAAAGGGATAGCATGGTGGAATAACAAACAGAGGAGCAGTCTTTGAGTACCCATATAATCACATCTGAGAGTCTGTCAATTTAAAAACTGAGCTTATCATAAAATATAAAGTATTATTCATACAGTGCTGTATATCAAAAATAAACCTAAAATTCACTGACAAACCTAATGAGTTAGAAACCAACAATGTTGAGTGAGGGGACTTGAATAACGGATATACTGTACTGTATTTTTAACAGCTCAACTTTCACAGAAACACTCTTTTGTTTCTCAAAAATAATGGGTTTATTGATACAAAAAGCAAGACAGCAAATTACAAAATATTACAATGCACAGTGATCCCATACAAGGCTAAACCCTCTATGCATGGAATCTGAACAAAGAACTATTAAAATATTTTAAAAGTAGTAGGTTGGTAGACAGCAACCAAAAAGGGAGGTACTACTTGTCCTGCCAAGTGAGTGTAAAATGAAAGCTGTAATTGTTTTACATTGATGGTAGGATTGCTGGCATCTTTTTTCTGTCTCATATACATGCAAGATTTCAGGTACATTTGCTGCTACTACTAACACTTAAGTCACACTACACATACATATACAGTACATGTTTATGTATACACACTTATCTGAGTTTTCTTTGATTTTTCTTTAATAGTTCTTGCTCTTATTGCTTTTCCTTTCATATCCATGAGAAAGTGGAAAAGAATCTTTCCTCCGTAAGCCATGCATTTTGAAAAAAGTCAACTAAATTGCCGGGAACAATGGGCTAGTAACCCTTTTTCCTGTTAGCCTACTAAAACAAAAAGAAGAAAACCTTCAAAGTGGGATTTTAGAATGTGCGTGGATGTTGTGTGAATGATAAGAAGAGATGATTGTGGTGTTATGAATGAGAAGAAGCTGGATGTCCTGGCCTTAAGTGCGAAGGGGGTGGGAGAGTTTCAGTGGGGAGGAAAAAGGGGATTAGGTCAGGGGTTTCAAATAGAGTTAGAGCTCAAGAAGGATTTAGCAATAATGTTGAAGGATAAGTTATAGTAGGAAAAGAGGGAATATAATGTATAAATTCAAGGATTATGTGGAGTAAAATAAGGGTTGGATATGAAAAGTGGGTTATAGTAAATGTTTATACCCCTGGAGAAAGAGAAGTGGTAAAAGAAAGAGAGAGAGATTTTGGGAAATGTTTAGTGAAGTGCATGGAGAGTTTTGAACCAAGTGTGAGAGTACTTTTGGTTGGGGATTTCAATGCCAAAGTGTCTAAAAATGTTGTGGAGAGATGTGTGGGTCAATTTGGGGTGCCAGGGTAATGAAAATGGGGAGCCTTTGAGCAAAGTGTTTAAGAGGTTTTTTAAAAAGTAATACAGTGGAACCCTCTACTTACGATTTTAATCGTTCTGGGGACCTTGCTCGCATCTGGATTTACTCATTTGCAGAGTCAATTTTCCTCATTTAAATTAATTGAAATGGAATTAATTCTTTCCCAGTGGAATTCCATGCACCATAAAATACTTCAATAATTTCCCTAATATCAACTTTATGGCTTATTTATCTATCACAGTTCAATTAATATGACATATTAAGCAATATAAATAACACAGAAACCTGATTACAGTGGACCCCCGCATAACGATTACCTCCGAATGTGACCAATTTATGTAAGTGTATTTAGTAAGTGCGTTTGTAACGTGTTTGTTTGGGGGTCTGAAATGGACTAATCTACTTCACAATTTTTCCTTATGGAATAAATTCGGTCAGTACTGGAAACCTGAACATACTTATGGAGTGAAAAAATATTTTAAAACCGGGGGTCCACTGTATATACTCTAGAATGAATAAAATATGTCATTATATATGTGGTGGGGCGGTGGCCGACGAGAGTTTATCTGGAGACAGGAAAAAATACTCTTTGAATATTTTGCTATCCTCAATTCTAGGCTTATTTATCTATCAAAATTCATTTAATATGACATAATAAACAATATAAATAACATACAAAACCTGATATTATTCTAGAATGAATAAAATATTGTTATTATGTGACAAGTGGAGGCATTGATAGCTTTCTGAAGCATTTTTATTAATAATTATTATTATATTTTGGGCTTTTACTATTATACATATATTATTATTATTAATTTATTATAATACACATATTATTTTATATTATTATTATTACAATAAAAAATAATTTGGAATTTTTTTCACACAAAAAATAATTACAATAACACAAAAATTATTACAATAAATGCAGTAGCCTGTTAAGCAGGCTACTTCATTATTTAAAAATTTGTATAAATAATGTCAATCCTTTCATGACTGCATATTGGAATGGGAGGTGATGTCATTTGTTTACTCTTGAACATCGGCAAAAATAGAAAATTTCTGCTAATTTGAGCAAATTTTTCAAGCTACTTCTCGTCTTTAAAACCCATTCAAAATCATATCTATTTCTTTTAAATATATCTTCCATTCTATCAAAAAAAACCAAAAAAAAAAAAGAGAATACAACCTTTAAAAACCATACGAAAATGCCGCTAAGGGGTGGACTAATGCTGAGAAGTGAACTCCATTATTTATGGTCTGATTTCTTTCATTTTTGGTGTACGTTAAGAAGCATTTTTCCCCATCATACATTGCCAACTTTCAAAAAATGAGATCCCTTCCCTAGATGAAGAGCAAGATTTACCTACCAGCATCAAGGAACCTCCTTTGAGGCCAATCGTTATCGAAAATTTTGCTCGCGTATGGAAGCAGAAAAAGGACTGATCGACTGCTCGTATTTGGAAAACTCGCATGTGGATGCCCCTCCCAAATAGAGGTTCCATTGTACATATTTTATGAAAAGAGGATAAATAAAAATACAAGGTATGATATAGAATATAATGAAAGTAGTTTGTTATATTATGTATTGGTGGATAAAGGTTGATGGGTAGGCTCCAGGGTGTACATGTTTTAGAGGGGCAACTGATGTATCAGATCATGATTTTGTTGTAGCTACAGTTAGATTAAGAGGAAGATGGGACAAAAAGGAAAATGGCAACAACAAGTAAGAGAGACGTGAAACTGTATAAACTAAGGGAGGAGGAAGTTAGGGTGAGATATAAGCAAAATATTTGGGAGAAAGGTGGGCTAGTGCAAGTATGAGTAGTGGGGGGGGGGGGGGGGGGGTTGAAAAGTGTTGGAATGTTTTAAAAATGCAGTTTTTGAATGTGGGGAAAAAGTCTGTGGCTATAGGAGGGTGGGTGCAGGGAAAGAGGATGATTGGTGTTATGATGAAGTAAAGGTGTGATAAAAGAGAAAAAGGTAGCTTATGGGGATGTTTTTACAAAGCAGAACTGTTTTAAGAACAGCAGAGTATATAGAGAGTAAAAGAGAGTGGTGAGGAGTGCAAAAGGGGAGGAGATGAAA